ATACATTATTTGGAGATCTCAAAAGTGAGCAGAGCCCTGGAGGAAATAATTTTTGTCCAGCATTATCCAGTCCATTGTGGAAGAGGGGCTCTGCTCTGTCTCCTAAACCTCAGCCTCACTGCCCAGCCCAGGGTGAGGGCCACACATGGCCCAGGCCTCACTGCCCAGCTCAGGGTGAGGGCCACACACGGCCCAGGCCTCACTGCCCAGTTCAGGGTGCAGGCCACACACGGCCCAGGCCTCACTGCCCAGTTCAGGGTGCAGGCCACACAGCCCAGGCCTCACTGCCCAGCTCAAGGTGAGGGCCACGCACGGCCCAGGCCTCACTGCCCAGCCCAGGGCGAGGGCCACGCACGGCCCAGGCGTCACTGCCCAGCTCAGGGTGAGGGCCACACACGGCTGCCGAGCACCAGCATGGCCAGTCTGATCAAGATCACTGTCAATGTGGAGTCCACACTTTTTGAAGACTCAGCACAACCAAGAAAGAAGGTAAAACATTAATTACTTTTACATTGATTACATGTTGAAATAGATAATATTTTGGATATATTGGGCTAAAGAAAATATATTCTTAAAATTTATTTCACTGTTCTCTTTTATTTTTTTTAATGAGGACTCTAGAAAATTTAAAATCGCTTATGTGGCTTGCATTATGCTTCTACTGGACGGCCTGCCGTAGCCCACTGGGAAATGGGGAGAAGCCGCACTCTTGGTGAAATGGGCGAGGGGAATGCTGCCGGAGCCCGTATGGTGGGCCGGGCCCTGTGCTAATCACGCTGCCGGCAAGGTCACTGTCAACCTTTCCATGTGCCCACAAAGCTGACACCCACATCGCCATGTGTTAGATAAGGAAACTGAGGCACAGCGAGGGGAGCCACCCGGTACAGGCCACGTGAGGAGAAGCCGACAGAGCTGAGGCTACAACCCGGGTCTGTCGAGGGCTCCAATCCTGATTTCTTTGGGAACCAGACAGAGCGTGGTGGAAGCAGGACAGACAGACGCTCCTGGCGGGGCCACAGACCCAATCCCAGGAGGCAGCGGAAGGCATCTTCACTGTGGAGCAGTGTTCCGAGGGCCGGAGCAGCTGAACCCTTGATAGCCCTCCAGCGTGACAATGGGGGCTGTGATGACCCCGCACCTGGGGGCTCCAGACACCCCCAGCGAGGACTGCCTCTCTAAAGCCGGCCACCTCTCCTGGCTCACCACCCCCACACTGCCTTGAAGGGACTTCTCCCCGCTCCAGGAGCACAGGGTCCTTATTCCCTGTATACGTCCAGCTCCTGGGCCCAAGCCTGGCACCAAGAAAGTGCTCCTGGTAACTAGCTGACTGGGTGAATAAATGATGCACTGAATGAATGAATGAACAAATGAAAGCCTGCACCAGGCCACTCGTGTGGTGCTCGTCCCCCAGTGCTAAGAACAGCACAGTGTTCCTGGGACAGGCAAGCTGTACCTGGGGGCGGGTGTTTGATGCTCCCCGAACCAGCTGCACAGTGTCCAGGCCAGAGGGGTGGGAGGGGTGCTTTAGAAAGACAAGGGGAGCACCTTCCTGATATCTGGCCGTGAGATGAAGCAGAGACATGGTGGTCTGTTCAGACCTGGCTGCAGATCAAAGCTTGAAAATTCCCATCTCCCTTCCCACAAGGGATCCGGGTAAGAGATGGCATTCCTGTTTATGCTTTATAAATTGCCATAATGGCGAAATATCAATACCAAATCCATGGAGACAGGATGCTGTGAAATCGTGCTTTTCAGTGAAAGGAGGAGGGGAAAAAAAGCTTGAAAAATTTATTAAACTCAGGCTGCTGGGACCGAACTGCATGTTAAAGATTCAAATTCATTTCCCTTCCCTGTAATTTACGATTTACGTTTGCAATAACGGCAGTCACCCAGGAGCTCATTGCAGTAGGGGCTCTCTCTTAATGACACGGAATAATATTAGTGCCCCCTGCACAGTCACACGTCCCAGGATGAGTGCCTCCAAGTCAGAGGAGTTTGGTTCAAGAGAGAAGTCACAACAGGAATGGGCAGAGAAAGCGGGGAGTGCGCACCCCCACCCTGCCTGAGTGCCCTACAGGAATGTTCAACATGGAGCGTGCACCCTAAGCCATCTGGGGGTGGCAGGACCCCGGGGTCAAGGGGAGCATCCTGCCTCCACACATGAAGCAGGAACTTGTGCCTGGTCCCAGCTGCACAAGGCACACGAAGCCCCCTCAGTCTGGCTGACCTCTCGGGATGTTTCCGGAAGGCAGAGCCCCAAACCTCAGGTTGGCCACCTACGAGAACAGGCAGGTCTGGCCCTTGTGTTGAAGTCCTAACCCATGTACCTGTGGATGTGACCCTGTTTGGAAATAGGAGTTTTCTTTTGTTATGTTAATGAGGGCATACCAGAGTAGGCTGGGTCCTAAGCCTAATCCTTTCTGAGTTTTAAAAAGACACACACACACACACACACACACACACACACACACACACAGACACGCAGGGGATGACAGATGCCAAAGTACACCAAGGAATACCTGCAGACACCAGGAACTAGGAGCAAGGGCCACAGAAGGAATTAATACAGCCAATTTGGACATTTCACCTCGGAACTGGGAGAAAATAAATCCCTGTTCTTTAAAGCCACCCACTCGGCGGTATTTCTGTTCCGGCGGCTCCAGGTAACGAGGACAGGGATGCAGGTGGAGGAGACACAGGCTCTGACCTCAGGGACCACCGGTCTTACAGGCACAGACATCTAACCACCAAATCATGGTGCACCCGACAGACGGACCCACGGGGGTGTGGGTGCTCCGGGGATGGGAGAAGACATTGACACCAGCGCGTGGGGCACGAGAGGCTCGCAGACAGGTGACACCTGAGGCAAGACTGGGCAGATGAGAAGGACTCAAAGGTGCAGAAGGCTGGGGACAAGGGAGGCAGCGTTCAACCCTGCGCTCAGCCAGCATGCAAGGCCAGGGGTATGACGGGCCTGGCCGGGCCCAGACTCCCTCGGACGCCTCCTTCCACCCGAATCACTGGCTGGAACCCCTCAGCCTCTCCCAGCCTCAGTTTCCTCACCTCAGGATGGTGGAACATGACCCTCAAAGGGCCAAGATGGCCTGACCCGGGGCCTGTCCCTCAGGAGGTACTGTGCGTTCCAGTTTGCCTTTCTAGAAATATCTAAGCCCCTCTCCCATTCCTGGGACCGGTCAGGGTAGGCAACAGCATCCAGGCGGTGGATTCCAGCCCTGGTGGCCTCATGTCTCCCCTGCAGGGTCCTTCCAGCCCTCTAACCCATGGGTTTGACCAGATGCCCAGAGGACCTCAGGGCCCCCATCAGTGGGGTCACCCAGGGTCTGTGCTGGCTGGACTCCCAGGAGGTGGGCAGCCACCCAACTGGCTGATGAGGCCACACTCAGAATCCCATGAGGCTGGGCTGCCAGGATGGTGCCGACGGCAGACTTCCAGATGACTCAGATTGTCTCCACAGACAGAGTTCTCGCAAATACGATTTGGCTGGGGCACGCACACCCTCGAGGCAGCCCCAGATGTGAGGGCGAGTGATAAGGCCTTCTGAGTGCCCGGCCCGCCCAGCGCACGCGCACAGCAGGCACTCGACGAACGCCAGCTCTAAGGCTCATCATGATTCTCATCCTCAGCTGGTGCAGCAAGATGAAGGGAAAGACGCACGTTACCACGCGCCCCCGAAGGAGCACGGCGTTTAGCTGGAAGACCTGCAGTAAAGCAGGAAGGGGCCCCGGTGGGCACGCCAGGAGGCCAGGACTCGAGTCCTCTGCCATGGAGGTGACACCAGGGACGACCCCCAGGCTGGGCAGACCCGTCTCCTCACCGCAGAATGGGGGCGTCCTGCCCCTTCCTGCAGCCCCTCCTTAGGGAAGGTGTCCCATTCCCTTCTCTGAGCAGTGGTCACGTGACCCCAGACCCTGGCCACCACCACCTCCTTGAGGCTCTGGAACCCTGAGGCAAAACAGCCTGGGATGAGGCCAGGCTCAGGATGTGTGTGATGGAGCAGATGGAGCAGAGGAAGGATGGAGAGACCCAGAGAGAGGCAGGGTGGAGCCCCGGAGAGACGAAGAGGCCCTGGGGCGTCACGCTCCTGTGTCTCAGTCCAGAGCCCCATGCACAGCCCTGAACCCACAAATCCCCCTTCCTTTTACTCTGTGCTTGGGAGGACCTTCACTTCTGAAACAGCAGCTGTAGCCCCACCCAGGAGCCCTGGTGGCACAGTCGTTGGATACTCGGCTGCTAACCAAAAGGGCGGCATTTCAAACACACCCAGCAGGTTCGAGGGAGAAAAGGTCTAGTGACCTGCTCCCATAAAGATTACACCCTCGGAAACCCTATGGGGCAGCTCTACTCTGGCCTATAGGGTCACTAGGAGTCGGAATCAACTCCATGGCACCCAACAACTTCCCACCCACACAGCGTCCAAGGGCCGGGGGAATTCTCCCAGCCTGAAAGGAAGACACCAGCCCACGCGCACCTCAGTACCAGCCCCCGTCAGCTCCCACCAAAGCTGCGCAGAAACAACCCTTTGATAAGGTCTGACCTTGGGCCAAGGCACCAACTCCCACATCAACCCCCACGACGTTGTGCAGCCTTCTAGAACGAAACTCACTGCCGTCGAGTCAATTCCGACCCAGAGCGACCCTATAGGACAGAGTAGAACTGTTCCATAGGGTTTCCAAGGAGCGGCTGGTGGATTTGAACTGCCGACCTTTTGGTTAGCAGCCTAGCTCTTAACCACTACGCCACCAGGGCTCCTTCTCGAATGAAATGGGGTGGAAAGTTAGGGACCATGCATCTGTCTGCGATCTTTCAGAAGTGTGTGGAAAACCCGTGCCACGGCCAGCCAGGCGGAGGTTCTCTGGGTAGGAACAGCCAAAGGGCCGGCTGCCTTGAACATGGCTGCCATGTTTCCTCATGGTCCCCACCCCCACCCCCGTGAAGTCCCTTCCTCCTCCCTCCCTGGCCCTCCCCACCAGGCTCCTTACTCCGCCAGCTCCTCCAGGCTGCGGTACACATCATCGTCATTTTCCGCTGTCTCCTCTGAGGGAAAAGGCCTGCAGGAGAGAAGATACAAATGAGCTGGACAATCTCGGGGCACTGCTGGCACCAGCAGGCCCCCACTTGTCATCCACCAAAGGCCCTGGAGGGAGCCCCAAGGCTCCCCTGAGGAGCACACGATCCTTGGTCAGCTCCCGCCGGTGGGGAAGGAGGCAGGGGCCCAATGGTGCCGCGTGTGCTACAGAAGGAGCAGCTGGGGGAGGCTCGAGAGCAGGGCTGGGCTCAGGAGGGCGTGTGCCTCCAGCAGCCCCAGACGCTGGAAGTCACTCCCTCTCTCGGGGCCTCAGGGTCCCCATCGGCAAACGAGGGACCAGGCCAGGGATGGCAGAAGCCTTGATCCCAGATGACAGCTCTGCCTCCACCTTAACTGCGCTCACACTTCAGGGAATTCTGGAATGCGGATGCCCCAGGCATCCCTGGGCCTCATGCAGGGGTCAGGTGCCAGCTCCACGCACCCAAAGGAGAGGAAGCAGGAGGGAGCTTCTGGGGCACCGTCCTCCATGCCAGGGTGGGGGCCTTCTGGCCAGGAGGACAATGGTGGCACAGGTCTCCATAAGCACGCCGGTCCCCACCCACCGCCCCCACCCAGGCCTGGCATGGGTCAGCGCTTGCTGGAAAAGGGCCGGTGATTCTGTCCCACGCTGCCTTCTACAAAGACCCAGATGGCAGTCCGAGGCTCAGGTGGGTAGCTGGGGTCACCAACAAAGCGGCCGTCAGGGAAAGTGGGTCTCTCTCTTCCCACGTCCTCATAGCCATCACCCCAACACCCGTCCCTCCCCTCGCTGAGGGCCGACTTCCCAGCCTCTGGGTCTTTCTCCTGGGCACCAAGCAGGCAGTAAGCTGCCCCTTGGCACACACCTCTGCCCCAGCCCCTGTAACCAGGCTGGAACACCTCACCAGCACCCAGGCTTTCAGGAGGCAGGCCCTGCCCCGGAGAGAGGTGTGGGCAGGGAGACGTCTGGGGCCAGAAGATCCAGGCTTGGCTCCACTGTTGGCTCTGCAGCAGCCGTGTGGCCGCAGCAGACAGGCCTCCCTGCATGGGCTGAGCACAGCCTGTCTGCACAGAGCCCGAAATGCCACAGGCTGGGGAGGGGAGGGGAGGGGATGGCGGGAGGGCAGCAGGCACTGCCTCGTTCAAAGCCACAGGCCAAGTCGCTCACCTCCACAGGATCGCAGAAATGATCTTTTAATCAAACTAAATGTCCCCCTTTGGCTGGGGCTGTCCTGTTGGAAACCTGTTACCAGGGGCCTCATAGAAGGAGGGATCTTGGCGGCTCATATCAGATGCCTGCAGGGTGTCCTCACACGGGGGTCAGGCTGACCCCGTGAGAAGCCTGGCAGCGATTCCGTGGAGGGGAACCCACTCTCTGCACCCTCCCCCGGCCAGGCTCGGGGTGGGCGCTCCATGGGGTGGGGGCTGCAGAAGCCCATGGCTGGGAGCTGGAGGTCTGGGTCCAGCCTGGCTTTGTCCCCCACCTCCCACCGCTGCATGGCCCCGGCCTGAGGTCCCCAAGGCAGACCCTGACCAGTGGTTTCATGTCCCCCAGGGGCTTCCTGGCAGTAGCTGATGTCGCAGGGGCAGGCTTTATGTGGGCCACGGCTCTCCCTGTCCTTTCTGGTCCCACCCCCATCATCACGCACTGGAGGTGTAGGTACTCGGGCCACAGAGGGCAGAAGGTCAGCACGGAGCCCCTGGCTCAGCCCTGCAGACAGCCAGGAAGCCCTCACAGAATCGACGTCCTCCACATGACATGAAGCGCCCCCAACAGACTGAGACCCCATGTGGATGACGGGGTGTGACCCAGCAGAGCCAGACCCTGTATGGATGACGGGGTGTGACCCAGCAGAGCCAGACCCCGCGTCGGTGATGGGGTGTGACCCAACAGACCCAGACTCCACGTCGGTGAGAGGGTGTGACCCCCCAGCAGACCCAGACCCTGCGTGGGTGATGGGTGTGACCCAGCAGACCTAGACTCCACATGGGTGACAGGGTGTGACCCCCCCAGCAGACCCAGACCCCGCGTGGGTGATGGAGGGTGACCCAGCAGACCCAGACTCCACGTGGGTGACAGGGTGTGACCCCCCACCAGACCCAGACCC